CGTGCTGAGCATCAAGCTGCCGTTCGACAGCAGTCAAGCGGCTCACTCGAACTTACTGAAGTTGATTTAAAAGCTATGGGGAAGGTGAGGATGTGGGGGGGGGTAAAGCCTGTGATCTTCAAGGGGGTCCTGTGGAAATTGCTGCTGTTGTGCAATTGGTCCTGTTGTGCACTGCTTAGCTAACTCCAATATTCACTGCTGTGCACTGCTTAGCGGTCTCCATTATTATCTATCATCAGGTCTGAAATATATAAAAGGTTGCGTCTGGAAAGAATGTGAAGGCCAAAATGCCAAAGGAATTTCATAGGAATGTAAAATGTTTAAACACGTTTTCTTTCCTGAATTTTAGACCAACATAATTTTGAATTATGATAATGAGAGCATTTTGTAGAAAACATTCTGTTAACTTTTTGTTTTTTATCGGCGATTTATTTTTTTGGCAACTGAGAGACCGTCTCGTGTCGGTGACGGAGAGACAGACGGACACGGGTCTCGTGTCGGTGACGGAGAGACAGACGGACACGGGGTCTCGTGTCGGTGACGGAGAGACAGACGGACACGGGGTCTCGTGTCGGTGACGGAGAGACAGACGGACACGGGGTCTCGTGTCGGTGACGGAGAGACAGACGGACACGGGTCTCGTGTCGGTGACGGAGAGACAGACGGACACGGGGTCTCGTGTCGGTGACGGAGAGACAGACGGACACGGGGTCTCGTGTCGGTGACGGAGAGACAGACGGACACGGGTCTCGTGTCGGTGACGGAGAGACAGACGGACACGGGGTCTCGTGTCGGTGACGGAGAGACAGACGGACACGGGGTCTCGTGTCGGTGACGGAGAGACAGACGGACACGGGGTCTCGTGTCGGTGACGGAGAGACAGACGGACACGGGGTCTCGTGTCGGTGACGGAGAGACAGACGGACACGGGTCTCGTGTCGGTGACGGAGAGACAGACGGACACGGGGTCTCGTGTCGGTGACGGAGAGACAGACGGACACGGGGTCTCGTGTCGGTGACGGAGAGACAGACGGACACGGGGTCTCGTGTCGGTGACGGAGAGACAGACGGACACGGGGTCTCGTGTCGGTGACGGAGAGACAGACGGACACGGGGTCTCGTGTCGGTGACGGAGAGACAGACGGACACGGGGTCTCGTGTCGGTGACGGAGAGACAGACGGACACGGGGTCTCGTGTCGGTGACGGAGAGACAGACGGACACGGGGTCTCGTGTCGGTGACGGAGAGACAGACGGACACGGGGTCTCGTGTCGGTGACGGAGAGACAGACGGACACGGGGTCTCGTGTCGGTGACGGAGAGACAGACGGACACGGGGTCTCGTGTCGGTGACGGAGAGACAGACGGACACGGGGTCTCGTGTCGGTGACGGAGAGACAGACGGACACGGGGTCTCGTGTCGGTGACGGAGAGACAGACGGACACGGGGTCTCGTGTCGGTGACGGAGAGACAGACGGACACGGGGTCTCGTGTCGGTGACGTCTCGTGTCGGTGACGGAGAGACAGACGGACACGGGTCTCGTGTCGGTGACGGAGAGACAGACGGACACGGGTCTCGTGTCGGTGACGGAGAGACAGACGGACACGGGGTCTCGTGTCGGTGACGGAGAGACAGACGGACACGGGTCTCGTGTCGGTGACGGAGAGACAGACGGACACGGGTCTCGTGTCGGTGACGGAGAGACAGACGGACACGGGGTCTCGTGTCGGTGACGGAGAGACAGACGGACACGGGGTCTCGTGTCGGTGGCGGAGAGACAGACGGACACGGGGTCTCGTGTCGGTGACGGAGAGACAGACGGACACGGGGTCTCGTGTCGGTGACGGAGAGACAGGCAAGACAAATCTGTCAGTGCTGACGTCCTGTAGAAACAATCTGAGGAAACATTATACTTGAGGCACCCAGCAGCTTCCTGTAGATGCTAAGTTTGGCTCCTGTTTACACACACACCAGCTCTATATAGACTTCATTACCCCATACAAACCGCTCCACACTACGCTACACTACACACAGAAATCACAATAGCGTGATGCATCAAATGAAAAAATCCACAAGGGCCGTGACGAGGGTTCGAACCTACGTCTGAGAGGATCCCCAGACGCCGCCTTAATCGACTGAGCTACAACTGCACGTCGTGGCAAGTCGTGTCGCACATCATCGGAGAATCGAGTCGTCGTGGATGTGACGACCTCACAACACTACATATTAGGTTCTGTCAAATGTGATCAAATCCACGTTGCTGCTGGCTTTTATATCCACTAAACTTACACCGAAATGTCATTCTTTTCTGCATGATTTTTCCTACAAAGCTGCACAGACGCGAGCGACAGTGTTAGCTTAACGTCGTTGCGTTCATTGGCACTCAAGGCGTCCTAGATCAAGTATTCTCCTCAAGACTCTCACTTCACATATATATATACACATGAACCTGACGAAATGACAGTAGCAGCAACGGACAACCACGAGGACGTCTCCAAGAAACATTCCAACAAAGCATATATGTAGGGGCGGGGGGGTGGGGAGGAGATCGGAAACTAATCCTGAAAGATCTCAAGTCTTTCTCGTTCCGTCAACCCTCAATCATTATCCTAAATCCATTTAAGATTCGTTTCTTTAAAATTTAGATTAACGTGTCGTCAATAAACATGTCCACTTCCTGAGTGTCGCACGATCAGCTGGATGCAAATTTCGTGATAAAGACCCAGACACAGAACAGCAGTTTGGTTAATTGGACGCCTCGTGGGATGTTGTGTAATGCCCAGCTCGTGTTCCCTCCCCCTGGGTCACATGACCCGCCTCCACGCTAGTGGCACTCTTGTATTCTCCTCGTTTGTGGTGATTCTTGCATTCACAGCAAAAATGGGCGCGGGTTTTTATGTGTGTTTTTTTGTCTATCTCGGTCTCTGTCTGCTTCTGTTTCACGTATTTGTGCCTGTTTATTTAGCTGATACAGGAACCTCTTGCGTGTGGGACAATTACAATAGCTTTCTGGTAATGGAATAGCTGTGCAGTCCACCTTCCCTCTCGTGGAGGACAACTACTCTATTTAACCTTGTAAAATCGAGGAACGTCACAAAACTGACAATATTACAGCTAAGGGAGAGAGACTTGCGTGTCCGCACCCATCTCATTACCAGTGATAAAAGCGGCCACCGCGCCTCTCCGGCGTGATGGTCGCCAGGAGATGGTGAGAGTGATGGACGCCCAGGAGATGGTGAGAGTGATGGACGCCCAGGAGATGGTGAGAGTGATGGGCGCCCAGGAGATGGTGAGAGTGATGGGCGCCCAGGAGATGGTGAGAGTGATGGGCGCCCAGGAGACGGTGAGAGTGATGGGCGCCCAGGAGACGGTGAGAGTGATGGGCGCCCAGGAGACGGTGAGAGTGATGGGCGCCCAGGAGATGGTGAGAGTGATGGACGCCCAGGAGACGGTGAGAGTGATGGACGCCCAGGAGACGGTGAGAGTGATGGGCTCCCAGGAGACGGTGAGAGTGATGGACGCCCAGGAGACGGTGAGAGTGATGGACGCCCAGGAGACGGTGAGAGTGATGGACGCCCAGGAGATGGTGAGAGTGATGGGCGCCCAGGAGATGGTGAGAGTGATGGGCGCCCAGGAGATGGTGAGAGTGATGGGCGCCCAGGAGACGGTGAGAGTGATGGACGCCCAGGAGATGGTGGAGTGATGGTGAGAGTGATGGACGCCCAGGAGATGGTGAGAGTGATGGGCGCCCAGGAGACGGTGAGAGTGATGGACGCCCAGGAGATGGTGAGAGTGATGGACGCCCAGGAGATGGTGAGAGTGATGGGCGCCCAGGAGACGGTGAGAGTGATGGACGCCCAGGAGTTGGTGAGAGTGATGGACGCCCAGGAGATGGTGAGAGTGATGGGCGCCCAGGAGACGGTGAGAGTGATGGACGCCCAGGAGACGGTGAGAGTGATGGGCGCCCAGGAGACGGTGAGAGTGATGGGCGCCCAAGAGATAGTGAGAGAGGGGCGACCAGATTATCAGATCTGGACGATAAGAAAGGTGCTGGCGCTCACCGACTGTCAGGATATTAATGTGTGTGTGCTCGTTCTCGCCTGATTGTTTGTTGGCCCGAGCTTCAGCTCCTGGGACTGACCTTATTAGCTAGCTTTAAATCATTGAATGACATATCTTATCGATACCCCAGAGTCTGTTTGCGTTTGAAATATATCCTTCTGTCCTTTCTTCCAGTGTGGCATTAGATTTATCTTCCTTACTGTATCTGAGTAACTCAATCACTTATTTTTTTTTGGTAGCATATTTTAAACCACTCTCTCAATCTTAGATTTTGTATTTTATGGTTAATACTCTATGCTGGCGCTGCATACTCTAGTACTAGTCGGATATACACTGTACGTAGCGTTTGAGAGATTAGTTTCTAGGTTTCAAAAGGCTGTCCTAATGTTAGCTTAGCATCTGCTGGAGATGGGATTCTCTTAATTCGTGCCTCTGGAGATAGGTTCGAAATTATGTCTACTCCCAGATTCATTTTCGTCAGTGACTCTGGGAAGTTCTTCCCTTTCATGATGTGTTCCCCCGCTGGCCACCTAACTGCTATTGACATCCTGATGGTCTTACACGTATCTGGGGCGAAGTCCAGTAACCATTTCTCTGACCTTGCTCTGACTTATGTGTATAAGAATAAGTTTGAGTGGATATAAATGGGTCCCGCCTCGTATAGGCCAATAGGCCGCCTGTAGTTTTCATTACGTTCTTGTATCGGTCTTCCTTGACGTTCTTGCAGTCCTCGATCGTCCTAATTGTTCTCAATGTATCATCTTCGGTAAACAGTGACACAGTAAGAGTCTAGTTCATTAGGTATATAATTTATGTATTTTAGAAATACCATAGCGTCCCGGCACTGAACCTCGTGGGACTCCACTCTTTCTGTTACTGTTTCCTGTTTCTCATCTCTCCCACCCAATTAGACATTCTGCCACGTACTTCTACCCGGTTATTTATCTGTTCCATGAACCTCTTACGTTGGAGAGTTCTGCAGACGATGAGTCACAATAACGTGGCTGAAGTATGTTGACCAGACCACACACAAAAGGTGAAGGGACGACGACGTTTCGGTCCGTCCTGGACCATTCTCATGTCGACTGTTGGAGAGTTGTCATTGTAATATATTAATACATCTTCAGAAGGAATTCCTTCTGAAGATGTATTAATATACGAAAGTACTTAAGGAAATTCCTGTTTCAATTCTTCCTCTGTGGTCTGACACTGTCATATATGTCATATATGTCAACCTGACACTGTCAGGTTGGGGTTATGTATTTGTGTTCTGGTGACAATAACCTCTTATTGTTTTCTAGAGTTTTTATTTTATTTCGTGCAACGATTTTTTCCCACTGGTTGAAAGTGTCATCAGTCATCAACCTGATGGCACATTCAACGAACAAACTAATCAGTCAGCTAGCAATCCAATCATTAAACCAGCCACTCAGACAACCTTGCAGATAGTTATTGCAGCTAACCAAGTTGCTAGCCAATAAACCAGCCAATCAGAAAGGCGAGCCCGCCAGAAATAGAGTTAGCCAGTCACTTAATGTCAGCCAATGAGAGGAAGTCGGTCTTTCAGAAATGAAATCGATCAAAAACGGAAAGCCTTAAGCCCCCCGTGTCAATAAGCCTGATGGCATAGCCAACCTCCTGATTGGCCTGATTGGCCTCTGGATGGGTGGTCAGTGATAGAACAATATAAGTCATATATACAAAAGTTTAGCAAAACTAATATAAGGGTCCCTCAGCCCATCAGGATCCCAGCTCCCTTTGCCCATCAGGGTCGCGGCTACCTTAGACCATCAGGGTCCCAGCTCCCTCAGCCCATCAGGGTCCCAGCTCCCTCAGCCCCTCAGGATCCCAGCTCCCTCAGCCCATCAGGATCCCAGCTCCCTCAGGATCCCAGCTCCCTCAGGATCCCAGCTCCCTCAGCCCATCAGGATCCCAGCTCCCTCAGCCCATCAGGATCCCAGCTCCCTCAGCCCATCAGGATCCTAGCTCCCTCAGCCCATCAGGATCCCAGCTCCCTCAGCCCATCAGGATCCCAGCTCCCTCAGCCCATCAGAGTCCCAACTCCCTCACCCCATCAGGGTCCCAGCTCCCACAGTCCATCAGGGTCCCAGCTCCCTCAGTCCATCAGGGTCCCAGCTCCCTCAACCCATCAGGGTCCCAGCTCCTTCAGCCCATCAGGTTGCTATAACCTTTCCAGTCACAGGATGGGTATGAGGTCCATAATGAAGTAATTAAACTAAAAGTTTTCGAGACATGCTAGTTAGACAGTTACAATCTTACCCTCCTGTCCCCTCCCTTCCTTTCCCTTCCCTTCCCACCCTCTTCCCTTCCTACCCATCACCCTTCCCTTCCACCTCTCAGGCTCGCCATCTTTTTTCGGAACTCAAATAACTATAATTTTCTAGATTTTAGAGTTACAGGTACTCATTTCTAAATATTTTGTTGGTATTGTGGTTGGTACTAATTTATCTATGTAAAGTATATAAATAATTTAGTGTGTGTAGATATATACAAGCAGCTGGAGAGACTATTGGGTGCTACGGTATTCTGATGACGGGGCGACGGCTGTGTGTTATAAAACTTCCTATTCTCATGGAATAGGAATAGTAGTTGCATAGGAACATTTCATGGGATTGCATCTTCAGTGCTAAAAAAATTATGGTGATCATTTGAGGATTGTGTCTAATTTAGTTTTGGTTGAGTCAAGTGTAGAATGCATTAATTAGCCTTTATATATATATATATAAAATATATATAAAAAATATATATATATATATAATATATATATATATAAAATATATATATAAAATATATATATATATGAAAAAAAAAAAAAAAATATATATATATATATATATATATATATATATATATATATATATATATATATATATATATATATTAGCCTTTTACTTTCAAAATTGTTGGATAATTATGTTATTATGTTTGATTATATTTTCCTTAGCCTCAGATTGTTTTTCTTCACAATTTTGTTTAATTGTGAGCTTAATCCCTAGATTAGTTTCCAATGTCTAAAGAACATGAAAGCGGGGGGGGGGGAGGGGGAAGAAGGAAGAAGGGATGAGGAGTTGACATTATTGAAGAGGATTTGGATGGAGAATAAGGATTCAAGTGAACCTCTTCGCCGATGTTGGCAGAGCCAGACTATCACCCAGTAACTGGTGCACAAAATCTTGCATCCTCGTCTTGACCTTTAGTTTGAGGCTTCCACGTGATCTAACCGGGTCACCCTATATCCTGACATTAATGGCCATAAATGAATGATAAACGGGTTCGGATAGACACTTAACTTGAATTGTAGACATCGTGTTGGAGATGGTACCTTTGGTTTCCATAACACTACGTCCAAGTAAATCTAACAGGAGCCGAATTTGCTCCCGTGTGAGCCTCTGGTCTAGTCTCAACAATGGCTGTTTAACACTCCATACTATTGACGTTACTGGCCGACATTGTCCAGAATGATAGGAGCCGAATTTGCTCCACACGTCTCGGAGGTGACACAACAATGGCCGCCCTCCTTCCTCCCTCACGCCTGGCCTACTTTGTCCAGATTTCAGAAAGTGATAGAAGGGTCACATTTACTCTACTTTAATATTGATAATTAAGTTAATTTATATAAGATTTTTTTATAATGGTAAAGTCCAAAGACTAATGTATTTAAGAATAATTCCCACCATAATAGGTGGTGAATTATAATAGTATGTGGTGATGATATCCCGTTTTCTATAGACGGTAATTCCACTACAAGTTACGTTTTCTATGGGTAACTTGTTTATACAATACAGCTATTATCTGTATGATTATTAAATGGTGTCGGATTTTCCGACATAATTCCCCAGGGGCTGCTCACGGGTCGAAGTCCTAATTAGAACAGACGAACACCGATACTCCTCCATCGAATTATTACATTAATTTGATGTTAGTAGTTAGTAATCACACATTTGTGTGTCTGTTCGTACAGGACGGATGTCCCGTACTAGAGTTGCAGGGGTTAGAAGTCTAATGCGATTTCATTTCCCTGTCAACTCTTGAAAGGCTAATATTCAAGCCTTATTACATATTATTTAACCCAGAAGACTGGATGTGATCAAGTACTACAGTCAAGTATGATTCAGGGACTGCAGTGAGATCAGTGACATTAGATATAACTTGAAGTTTCTTCAGGTAACTGGTCACTGATATATAAACACTGAGGCCCATGGAATACATCTTGATTAAATAATAAATGTATCAAATCAGTCATCAGATTTATTGGGTTTAATTTAGTTAATTGATTCAGAAGATTGAATAGCTCATCATTAAAGTAAAGTATGGTTCTGAGACTGCAGTGGGTTCAGTGACATTGGTCGCAGTGACTTGTAGCTGTTTTAGGCTACTGTTCACTGATTTGCCACTGAGGCCTCATGAACTCATCTCCAGCTTTAAATGATGATACTACATCAACCTCTGTTACTATAGTCAGCTGTAATCTCCTTAGTATAATGCTACTGGAGAAATATAATCAGCTGACAATTTAGATTTCTACTGGTATTGTTTATATGCAGGCATAGGTCTCCCCAGGCTGGATACTGGGCCTGAGAGTAATTTACCTCCTGCAGAGTTTAACATGGTTATACCCTG